TCCAGCCCATTTTTGGGGTTTTGTGTGACATTATGTCATATTTGCTTTTCTGCCTCTGTTTTATATTTGTTCCAATACATACAAAGGGAATAAACATGTGTATAGCAAAACATGTGTTAATGCAATACCTTTTTTGTGTGAAATACTTGATTTTCAGGAAAAAATATCAAGGGTGCCAACAATTTCGGCCATGACTGTATAACTCTTGAACTGTATGTAACTATGTAACTGTATGTAACTATATGTAACTCTCGAACTGTATGTAACTCTGGAACTATATGTAACTATGTAACTGTATGTAACTATGTAACTGTATGTAACTATGTAACTCTGCTGCCCATTTCTCAGCACATACTACATACTCTGGTATCATCATCAAAGCTGCATCTCAACAGATCCCATAATAATATAGGGCCCAGCAATAATGCTGTCTTTTTAAATGTTAATGACAGCCCCAGGATTATATCGCATTAATTGTTCCAAGAACCATCCGCTCTGTCATACTCCTGAAGACTTTTATAGGTTCAAAAATAAGGATGCTAATCCCTGCGCTGACACTGCTGGGAGGAGCACCAGCCAAAACGAAGCAACGTATCTTGATGATTTCTATAACACTTCAGCCGCTTTGGAATATCAGATACCAGCTGGTCAGGGATACGCTTTTTCCATAATAATAACATATAAAGCTATTTATAACTCCGCCCCCAAATTACATCACCAATCTTGTCTCCAAATATCACCCAAACTGTACTCTACACTCCTCGCATGACCTCCTGCTCTCTAGCTCCATTGTCTCCTCCTCCCCCATGCTCATCTCCAGGACTTCTCCAGAGCTTCCCCCATCCTCTGGAACTCTCTACCCCAATTTATCTATCGCCTTCTCTGCTCACTTTTAGGCGATCTCTGAAAACCTATCTCTTCAGGGAGGCCTATCCTGCCCTCAGCTAATACTGGAATCTTCTACTCTTCTAACCAGTCCATCCCCCACAGTTACTACCTTTTGTACCACTAGCCCCTCCCTCCTAGATTGTAATATCCCAGGATCAGGGCCCTCCTAACCCTCTTGTATTGAACTGTATTGTTGCTGTATTGTCTCCCGTTATATTGTAAAGTGCTGAGCAAACTGTTGGCGCCATAAATCCTGTATAATAATAATAATAATAACGCTGTAAAAGGTCAAGTTGGCAGTACAGTGGCTAAATGGTTAGCACTTCCGCCTGGCAGCACTAGGGTCATCGGTTCAAATCCCAACCACGGCACCACCTGCCTGGAGTTTGCATGTTCTCCCTGTGTGGGTTTCCTCTGGGTACTCTGGTTTCCTCCCACACTCCAAAGACATGCTGGTAGGTGAATTGGATCCTGTCTAAATTTGCTCTAGTATGTGTATATATGAATGTGAGTTAGGGACCTTAGATTGTACACCCCTTGAGGGTTAGGGACCTTAGATTGTACACCCCTTGAGGGTTAGGGACCTTAGATTGTACACCCCTTGAGGGTTAGGGACCTTAGATTGTACACCCCTTGACGGTTAGGGACCTTAGATTGTACACCCCTTGAGGGTTAGGGACCTTAGATTGTACACCCCTTGACGGTTAGGGACCTTAGATTGTACACCCCTTGACGGTTAGGGACCTTAGATTGTACGCCCCTTGAGGGTTAGGGACCTTAGATTGTACGCCCCTTGAGGGTTAGGGACCTTAGATTGTACACCCCTTGACGGTTAGGGACCTTAGATTGTACGCCCCTTGAGGGTTAGGGACTGATGTGAATGTACAATATATATGTGTAAAGCGCTGCGTAAATGGACGGCGCTATATAAGTACCTGAAATAAATAAGTGATAGTCACCAAATGAAGCTTTTATTGTACAGATCTAGAGAAGTCATTGCTGAAACTTTCAGAGCGAATTTCCTTTATTGCCTGTGCAAATCAGCCCTTATAGGCGTTAAAACCTGGTGGAGAACTACAAGCTTCAGCATGCCACACTGCTGTAAACTCCAAAGACACTGACAGCTTTCTCAGCTGGAGGCTGTTGCACCTTGTGGCCAGTAGGTGGCGCCGTATGACAAGCTACCTCTTGCTAGCATAGCCTTTCTGAGTTGCCTATGTCAATGCTGCAACAGGTGTTAACAAGGTGAAGGCTGCAGGAGAATTTCAGGGTTAACTTGAAATTTTAATTGCTGATGAGCGCAAGATTGAACCTTTTGTTGCTTCCCTTGGAGCTCAATACATTACAAATAAACTGCTTGTTAACACGGGGTTAAATTCTGATCATCAGCCAATACCATTTTATGTGTAGCTGAGCCCCGCAGAATACTTGTAGCCGACATCAGACTGAAGCCTTTGTAGTTTAATGCTACATTTTGTGATTTATAAGAATTTTTTGCCATATAAAAATTATGGCGTATTTATAATGCAGTGAATGTGACATTCACTGCAGGTTAATCTAATGGATGAATGTATTTTAAATAACATTGATGAATAATGGGTGAATGTGTTTTTAAATCGCATTGATGAATAATGGGTGAATGTGTTTTAAATCGTATTGATAAATAATGGATGAATGTGTTTTAAATCGCATTGATGAATAATGGGTGATTGTGTTTTAAATCGCATTGATGAATAATGGGTGATTGTGTTTTAAATCGCATTGATGAATAATGGGTGATTGTGTTTTAAATCGCATTGATGAATAATGGGTGATTGTGTTTTAAATCGCATTGATGAATAATGGGTGAATGTGTTTTAAATCGCATTGATGAATAATGGGTGAATGTGTTTTAAATCGAATCGATGAATAATGGATGAATGTGTTTTAAATCGCATTGATGAATAATGGATGAATGTGTTTTAAATCGCATTGATGAATAATGGGTGAATGTGTTTTAAATCGCATTGATGAATAATGGGTGAATGTGTTTTAAATCGCATTGATGAATAATGGGTGAATGTGTTTTAAATCGCATTGATGAATAATGGATGAATGTGTTTTAAATCGCATTGATGAATAATGGATGAATGTGTTTTAAATTGCATTGGTGAATGCCACATGCTTTATAAATATACCCAATAGTCCAGTGCAGGGGTATGCCACACTCCAGCTGTGGTTTGAAATTCACTCCAAGTGAATCTAATGGATGAATGTATTTTAAATCACATTGATTAATAATGGGTGAATGTGTTTTAAATCGCATTGATGAATAATGGGTGAATGTGTTTTTAAATCTCACTAGTGTGAATGCCACATGCTTTATAAATATACCCAATAGTCCAGTGCAGGGGTACACCACACTCCAGCTGTGGTCTGACATTCACTGCAGGTGAATCTAATGGATGAATGTATTTTAAATCGCACTGATGAACAATGGATGAATGTGTTTTTAAAATCACATTGATGAATATTAGATGAATGTATTTTAAATTGCATTGATGAATAATGGGTGAATGTGTTTTTAAATCTCATTGGTGAATGCCTCATGCTTTATAAATATACCCAATAGTCCAGTGCATGGGGTACACCACACTCCAGCTGTGGTCTGACATTCACTGCAGGTGAATCTAATGGATGAATGAATGTATTTTAAATCGCATTGATGAACAATGGATGAATGTGTTTTAAATCACATTGATGAATAATAGATGAATGTATTTTAAATTGCATTGATGAATAATGGGTGAATGTGTTTTAAATTGCATTGGTGAATGCCTCATGCTTTATAAATATACCCAATAGTCCAGCGCAGGGGTACACTACACTCCAGCTGTGGTCTGACATTCACTGCAGGTGAATCTAATGGATGAATGTATTTTAAATCACATTGATGAATAATAGATGAATGTATTTTAAATTGCATTGATGAATAATGGGTGAATGAATGTGTTTTAAATCGCATTGGTGAATGCCTCATGCTTTATAAATATACCCAATAGTCCAGTGCAGGGGTACACCACACACCAGCTGTGGTGAGACTACAAATCCCATCACACCTTTGCCTCCAGGAGTCATGCTTGTGGCTGTCTGCGCCTTATGGGACTTGTAGTTCTACAACAGTTGGAGTGCCAAGCTTGCCTACCCCAGTCAAGTGTCACATTCAAGAGAAATTCCTACCATCTAGAAACAATGTGAATGCCTAATGTGCACCATATTTTGATCTGCTTTGTGTATTGATTAATATTTATTGTTACCATGCGGGTGTAAAACCTCAGAACACCAAAATACAGTAAAGACTGATCTATACTTTTCAGAACAGTATAAGACGAACCCAGAGATTGTTTAGCTTTTGCGATCTATAAGTTTCAGCCCTACCAGTGCATGCTGGGGCTTTTAGTGCAACAGCCACACAAGCCACCGTGGCCTAAACCTAATATATTTCATTACTTTTTGTTTTGTTTTTTTACACCATTTGGAGGACTTGAGAAAGCAAAAAGACATACAAAGTGTACATTTTAATTTTTTTATTCAGTAAAAAAATAGAGATGTATGACATGACAATGAAATGTCTGATGTATTATAAACAAAATGGATTTGTTCAGTTCCATTTACAATACTCCGAGAAATGTGCCCAGGGCACTGTGTAAACAAAGTCACTTTTCAGTCCTACAGTCTACAGAGATCAGATGTTGTCCCAGGTCTCCCTGTTACTCAGTCCAGATGGTAAACCCAAAAGGGAGGGCGGTTGTAACTCCGCTGAGTATTTTGTCTTTAATTTTTTTTTTTTTTTTACAGTAAGTCCGCGTACAACTTGCTGTTTGCTCCTTCTCAGTTCTTACGTTTAGGCAGACTGGATGTAATGCTGCCCAAAATAAAATCATCAGTTCCCCAAGGCTGACCTCGGCTTTCCACAGCCTTGGAGCCTCGACTGCCCGACAGAAGGCATGGTGGGCATGTGATCCCCACTACGGACATGCCTCCTTCGACTTGGCTTCTTCAAAAACGCCTCAAACTTTTGTTTCTCTATGTATATATTTATAAAGCCTCTGTGGCTACAGACAGGTTGACCCCTAGCTAATGACACATCTCTCTTTGTCTTTGCTCTGTCCACCTCCGATAGCTTTCTCCCTAATGTACATTAAGTCGCTGTGGATGCTGGGTCTGCGGGCAAAAGGGGCCACAACCCCAAAGGCGTCTCCGTCCTCCTTCACCTTCTTTCCCTTGAGGGTCTTTTTGTGCAAGATCTCGCAGTACTGGACAGAGACCTTACGGTGGAGATCTGGACTCATCTCACTGGGGAGCTTGGCCATGGTGAACAAAGCTTGGAACATCTCATCCAACCGAGAGTTCTTCTTGGCCGAGACCTCAAAGTACGAGCAGTTACTGTCCGTTCCAACCAACTGTTCGATCTCTTTGGGTTGGACCTCTCGGTAGAAGTCTCTGTCTCCCTTGTTACCACAAATCACCAGGGGGACTTCAAAGTTTTCCTTGGTCTTGTTCTTCAAGCAAGACTTGGTCTCTATGATCTGCTGCTTCAGGCGCTGGACCTCCTCGAAAGAATCACGATTGTCCAGACTGAAGACCAAGATAAAGACATCACCTGAAGTAAAGAAGAAGCAGGTTAGTATACAAGCCAACTTTTTATTCTTTTTACAATTCAAGACAGTATTGCAGCTTATGTCCAGCTGTGTAGGAGCTACTGTTCCTCAACTAACCAGCTCACTATCTAGTAGTAGTTAGTCACATTCAACCAGACTTGTTATGCAATGTTGAAGAACTTTAATAGCCAAGAAGAAGTGGCTTAGTAAGCTACAAACATCTTCAGCATTACAGAACAAGCCCAGTTGAGTGTGACTAACTACTATTATCTATACCATGATCTGGATAAACGGGAACCTTTGCAGGCATAAAAGTGGCTTAGTAAGCTATGAAAAGTCTTTGCAAAACAGGTTCAGTTGCATGTGACTAACTACTACGACTGATATATTTACCATGACCTGGATAAAAGAGAACCTTCACAGACCTAACCAGCTCACCCCATTGAGAAGACCTACAATTGTGTAATGTATAGGCAAAGCATGGGAATGTCTAGAGTCAAAGTTGTATGCAAACCCAGCAGAGACCCTCCCAGGATACTAAATAATGCTTTATGCGTCCATGTAAGATTGCACTGGGACTTCATGCAAAGTTGCACTCAACTAAGACTCCAAACAAGGGGCTTCCTATAGAAAGATTGGGTATATGGCAATCTTGGGAGGTTGCATGACTCCAACCTAACATATGCTCTCTATAACCGTGCACATCTTTGCAATCCCTCCAACTATCTACTGCAAATAGGTAGGTGGTCATCCAGGAGACAGGTACTTACCAGTTAGGATGGAGAGCCTCCTCATGGCAGGGAAGGGGTGGTTGCCAGAAGTGTCCAGTATGTCCAGCTGGTAGACCTCCCCCCTGATGCTGTAGAACTTTCGGTGGAAGTCCTCTATGGTTGGGGTGTATTGCTCCTCGAAGCGGCCGCTCAGGAAGCGGGTGACAATGGAGGTCTTGCCCACCTTGGAGGAGCCAAGGATGACCATGCGGTAGCAGTTCTTGGCTGGGATGTTGAGCTCGGTCTCATTGGGGCACATCTTCTTGATCATAGCTGTCAGTTTTCCTCTGACTGTGCGGGGAGTGCTGTGACTGAGCTGCATAGAGAACAAAGCTAAGTACTGCAAGAGCTCATCTGGCTGCCTGCGGAGCCCGCACCGACTTTTATCGAGCGCTCGGACACGCCCACTGAGCTACGTCACCGTGCGGGCACAGCTCTGACTTCTGCTGAGCAGAGGAGAGGAGTTGCTGAGAAGTGACAGTTGTGTCTGTAAGTGAGAGATCACATAGAGCCACTGCAAGGGGCAGCTCACTGCAATGCCTGGATCCTGGACACTGCATACATCACACTGATCACTGTACATCATACCTGACATGTCATCATACAGGATAATACTCTGTGCATGGGATCACATACATCCAGTCAGCAAGACATTGGAATATACTCTGCATGGGATCCCATACATCCAGTCAGCAAGACATTGGAATATACTCTGCATGGGATCACATACATCCAGTCAGCAAGACATTGGAATATACTCTGCATGGGATCCCATATATCCACTCAGCAATACATTGGAATATATTCTGCATGGGATCGCATACATCCACTCAGCAATACATTGGAATATACTCTGTGCATGGGATCCCATACATCCACTCAGCAATACATTGTAATATACTCTGCATGGGATCCCATACATCCACTCAGCAATACATTGTAATATACTCTGCATGGGATCCCATACATCCACTCAGCAATACATTGTAATATACTCTGCATGGGATCACATACATCCACTCAGCAAGACATTGTAATATACTCTGCATGGGATCCCATACATCCACTCAGCAATACATTGGAATATACTCTGCATGGGATCCCATACATCCACTCAGCAATACATTGGAATATACTCTGTGCATGGGATCCCATACATCCACTCAGCAATACATTGGAATATACTCTGTGCATGGGATCCCATACATCCGCTCAGTAATACATTGGAATATACTCTGCATGGGATCCCATACATCCACTCAGCAATAATATACTCAGTGCATGGGAACCCATACATCCACTCAGCATTACATTGTAATATACTCAGTGCATGGGATCCCATACATCCACTCAGCAATACATTGTAATATACTCAGTGCATGGGATCCCATACATCCACTCAGTATTACATTGTAATATACTCAGTGCATGGGATCCCATACATCCACTCAGCAATAATATACTCAGTGCATGCAGTGCATGGGATCCCATACATCCACTCAGTAATACATTGTAATACACTCCGTGCATTGCATTCCATACATCCACTCAGCAATACATTGTAATATACTCTGTCCATGGGATCCCATACATCCACTCAGCAATATATTGTAATGTACTCAGTGCATGGGATCCCATACATCCACTCAGCAATACATTGGAATATACTCCGTGCATGGGATCCAATACATCCACTCAGCAATAATATACTTAGTGCATGGGATCCCATACATCTACACACCAATACATTGTACTACACATTATACATGAGATTCTATATATCTGCAGATTGCAGAACCAATACATTGTACATGAGATTCTATATATCTGCAGATCATAGAACCAATACATTGTACATGAGATTCTATATATCTGCAGATCATAGAACCAATACATTGTACATGAGATTCCATATATCTGGAGATCATAGGACCAATACATCGTACATGAGATTCTATATATCTGCAGATCATAGGACCAATACATTGTACATGAGATTCTATATATCTGCAGATCATAGAACCAATACATTGTACATGAGATTCTATATATCTGCAGATCATAGGACACATATTGTACATTATACTACACAGTACGCTGGGCATTGTATTCCATACATCTGCAGATCACAGGACGAATACATGGTATTACACATTGTACATGGTATTCCATACATCTGCAGATCACAGAGCCCATACATTATAATATACATTGTGCATGGTATTCTATATACATGGTGATCACAGCACCACTCCATCCTTCTGCAGACTGTCTGTGTCGTGTATTTATCCTCATGCAGATCACAGCTACTGCAGAGACTACACACTGGCTGGCTGTCGCAGAGCCCAGTACAAGGTCCACATAGCAGGCTGAGCTGAGAGGTGGAATACTATACAGGGACCTGGGATTCTGTTCACCTGAGGATAACAGCTGGTGCAGAACACAAGCAGTACCTGTCCATGTACAACAGACACTGCCAGACACTTCATGGAGGACATGGGATCCAATACAGATTAGACATTATACTTGGAATTCAATGACACCAGCAGCCACAAAACATACAGACTTTGTGATTTCTGCTGTCCAGCTGCTGGGTGTCAAATCCACTATAGAACAGAGGCTTAGCCTGACAGTACTTATAGATCCCATCATCTGCTGTCAGAGCTGTACAGGGGAGATCAGACCACCTACACAGCATACTGTATACATCTACAGGAGGTCACAACACCTCTACAGCCTATGCATGCTACATCATAATGCTAACACTGAGTTCCTATCTGGCTGAAGGGGATGAGAACTGCTATGTTTCTCTCTTTACACAGGTAGCAGTGTCCTCTATACCTGCAATTACCTGTCAGCAGCCATTGCTCATGCAAGCCTGAGATTAGACATTCTTGCAGTACAACACCAATCTATCATTTTCTCATCAACACAGAGGCACTGCATCTCTACATAAAGGGTTCTGTGCTCCATACACACTCAGCCAGGCATCCTAGTCTTACAGCATTGTGTTATATAATATCACATACACTGTAGCTGAAATGTGTCCTTGGATCAGTGGTCTCCAAACTGTGGCCCGGGGGCCAGATGTGGCCCTTTGCTTGCCTTTATCCAGCCCTTGAGGCACTTTAACTCCCACTGATACAAAACACTATTCTTCTCACTGACACCAACAAATGGGCATAATTCCTGCTACTGCCATCAGCAATGGGGCCCACTGACACCAGCAACGGGGCCCTATTTCTTACACTGACACCAACAACAGGGCACTATACCTCCCACTGACACCAACAATGGGGCATAATTCCTGCTACTGCCATCAGCAATGGCACCCATTGACACCAACAATGGGGCCCTATTTCTCCCACTGACACCAACAACAGGGTACTATACCTCCCACTGACACCAACAATGGGGCATAATTCCTGCTACTGCCATCAGCAATGGGGCCCATTGACACCAACAATGGGGCCCTATTTCTCCACTGACACCAACAACAGGACACTATACCTCCCACTGACACCAATGATAGGGCACTATTCCTTCCACTGACACCAGCAATGGGGCACTATTCCTCCCCCTAATACTGAAGATGCATTTTTTACGCCCACTGACACCAGGATAATATCATCTCCCAATGACCCCAGACCGGCCCCCCATAAAGTCTGAAGGACAGTAAACTGGCCCTTTGTTTAAAATGTTTGGAGACCCCTGTAATAGATCACTGCATCCACTGTATTGTGGATCCAGGGGCGGACTGATCATTTAGCCACTCGGGCACTGCCCGAGGGCCCGGGGTCAGTAGAGGGCCCCATGAGATGCCCCTGGAACCTTTCATATGCTTTTTTGGGTTTGGTTTGAGTGTGGGCGAGGACACGGGGGCCACTTGATTTCCTATTGCCCGGGGGCCCCATGAGTTGTCAGTCCACCCCTGTGCGGATGATGATATACAATGTACCAGGATCCTGGCCGTAGATCTTTGCATCTGATGTCTTGCATACTGTAACAGGATTCTTTGGACTTGTAGATCATGCAACCCACTATATAGTTTTTACATACATTTTGCAAGATTATCTAAGTACTTACCGTAGATAATTACTTCCATATCATGGAGACTTCACCCAATCACAGAGAGCCCTTATTTCATATTTGTATGAAACTATACTGTGGGTTCAATGATCTACAAGTACCATGTAGTCAATGTCATTTTCCATAATTGGTCCCATTATTAATATACTTTCCATGCAGAGCATTAAATCACCAGATTCTGTCCATATCAATTTACTTTTGTGTAGTGTCAACTGCCGCAGTTATCTGTTAGCCTTGGTAAGTAGGATATATGTAGGTGTCCGTGCATTAAACAGACAGTAGCTCCAGGATTTGACATTGTATTCCACGAGGGTATTGATGGAGTGTACATATGTGTCATGTACAGTTTTCTGTAAGTATCCATTGAATCCAGAGCAAGCGTAGAAACTGGTTACCTGCTGGTTTAAATGATATTGCATAGCAAACAAAGCAAATGTAAAGTACATTTATATACAATGAACAAATATATGTACAGTACAGATATAGGAAGTCTGCATTATGCATCAAACACCAGCAGGGTGCAAAGACCATATGAAATAAAGACAGGCAGTCAATTACCAGCGGAATAAACGGGGCCAGTGGTCTGAAAACTGTGGCCCAGATGTGGCCCTTTGCTTGCTCTTATCTAGCCCTTTAGGCATTATTCCTGCCACTGACATCAATGATGGGACACTATTCCTCCCACTGATACCAATGATGAGGCACTATTCCTCCCACTGACAGCAATGATGGGACACTATTCCTCCCACTGATACCAATGATGAGGCACTATTCCTCCCACTGACACCAATGATGGGGCACTATTCCTCCCACTGATACCAATGATGGGGCACTATTCCTCCCCCTGACACCAATGATGGGGCACTATTCCTCCCACTGACCCCATGGGGCACTATTCCTCCCACTGACCCCATGGGGCACTATTCCTCCCCCTGACACCAATGATGGGGCACTATTCCTCCCACTGACACCAATGATGGGGCACTATTCCTCCCACTGATACCAATGATGGGGCACTATTCCTCCCACTGACACCAATGATGGGACACTATTCTTCCACTGATACCAATGATGGGGCGCTATTCCTTCCACTGACCCCATAGGGCACTATTGCTCCCACTGATACCAATGATGGGACACTATTCCTCCCACTGATACCAATAATGGGGCACTATTCCTCTCACTGACACCAATGATGGGGCACTATTCCTCCCACTGACCCCATGGGGCACTATTCCTCCCACTGATACCAATGATGGGGC